TTTTTTTTTTATGTCAACCGTCACAGTTACAAAATTAAGTTGTCAGCCTGCTCTGACACGAAAGCAGACTTAAACATGGCAGTATGCCCTATTCAAAAGTAATAAAAAATAAACCTGTTACCTGTGGAGTAGAAAGCGTATACAGCAATGGGTTGACAGCTGAATTGATCGGCAGAGCGAACACTGCAATCCATACTGCCAGATCTCCAGGTGGATCAAATGTTTTCTCGACGTGCGACTTGATGCCGATAGCAATGATTGGTAGCCAACACAGGAAATCGGTCAGAATAATGAAGAAGACTCTTTTGGCAAGTGCTCTTTCTCTTTTGGCCTGGGGACTTTGTGCTCTTGCTCGTATTTCACGAATAGTTCCATGCGCTCCGAGCTGTTTGCTTGACGACCATGAATTCAACAAGATGGCAATGTAAGCCACCATTATGAAGATAAAAAGAGAAAAATTCAAAACGATAAATATGGAAGTGGAGTATTCCCAGCCTTTTTGTAATTGCGGGGAAAGCTGCAGGGGCAGGCACACTACGTTCTTGCCATAATACGAGTCACCAAAGTAGTGCATTGCAGACAAGGGAAGCAATGCCATTACGCCTCCCACCAACCAGATGACTGTACACATTATACGAGTCTGGCTTGGTGTAATTTTTGCAAAAGTGTAGGGAAACACAATGTTCTTTAGCCTGTCCCATGCAATCAATGAAATCATCATAACTGACACCTCACTTGAAAGGATAGACATGGCGCCATTGAAATGACAAAACCAACCAGTGCGCCACTCATAGTCGTGCAGGTAGTATTCCCCCGACCATTGCAGGTCTTTTATAGCTATAATGATAAGGTAAATACCCATGATGCCGTCTGAGATACCCAGATTCACCAACATGATAGACTGGACCACATTGTTATCAGGGAAAAAATACTGCCACCCAACAACAAACAAAGACCCAAACAACGACAGAAGACCGACAACCCAAAGACTTCTCCTTGGAGCAAGGTTACGGAACATAGAGTGACAGCTTGCGAAGTCGTCATTGAAAGAATAGTCGCAATCGGCATCCTGCCTGAAAAAATCGAGGTGCAGGCAGCACATCAGGTTGGTGTCCAAAGTCCTGGTTTTGGAAAAAAAAAAAGAAGAAATATTTAACATTAATAACAACCTTACACGGATAGAAAACAATGGGTATTCAGTGATCCAGATACATTAAAGGTTAATGATCTGCAAACGATTAATAATTGGTGATTGATTTATAACATACACTCTTATTAAAACAATTTTTTTTAAAGGGGTGATTGAAGTAATTGTTTATTATGGACGGAGTCTTACACTCTGACAATGTGCCTCAACTGCTGGGTGAAAAATCCTCTAGGGAGCTCAGCCATTAGGTTGTAGTGCATAAACCTGCAATTTTGAAAAATAATCAGAAAAAACATTAAATTGGATTATATAGAAATTAAACCAAAAAATTTAACTTGGCTTACTCCAAAAAATGCATTTGAATTGGAAGAATGAGATTCATTTAATATTGTTAAAAAAAAAAAAAAA